TAGGGTTTGGGGTTTAGGAGTTCAAGGCTTAGGATTTTAGGGTGTTTAGGGTTTAGGGATGTTCTTTGGTCAGTAAATTAAATTAGGGGCTTTGGGGGTTTATGGTTTGGGGCATAGAAATTTAGGGGTTTAGGGTTTGGGTCTACTGAATTGGGAGTTTACAGCTTGCGGTTTAGGAAGCTAGGGGGGTTTAGGGCCTTGGCATAGTAAGTGTGATTTAAGAGTTAAGACGGGCTTCGGAACATCAAGGGTTGGGCCTGAGAAGGTTGGAGCTACTGACCCCAGCAAGGTCTAGGGTCGCAACACCATCTGGAGCCCGAGGAAAGCAGAATCAGAAGATGCACCGGCACGCTCTCGGCTCGTTCGGCTCGTTCGGCCGCTGAAGGCCCCAGACCCTAAACTCAACTAGGGCCGTTGCGTCGTGAGCTTGCGCAGCACGCGCTTAACCCCGAAGCTCCTGCGGCCGAGCGCGACACGAAAGACGTTTTGAGGTTTAGGCTTCAGGTCTCAGGCTTGGGTTTACCTGAGACCCTTGCACTCCAGACTCCATAATGGCCCTAAACCCTAAACCCTAAACCCTAAACCCTAAACCCTAAACCCTAAACCCTAAACCCTAAACCCTAAACCCTAAACCCTAAACCCTTAACCCTAAACCCTAAGGGCAGAGGAAAGGCAGCTGAGCTGCAACTTTAGGTTCAGGGGTTTGGGGATGGCGCATCCGGCTCGTTCCACGGCGAAGTTGCTAATTACAAGGATGCTCTAGCTGTTCAACAGAAGAAGGCGGGGAAACCCTAAACCCTAAACCCTAAACCCTAAACCCTAAACCATCTTGTACCCCTCAGCAAGCTCATGAGCCGGGCCCCTCCTCGCCAAGACTTCCTGTCGGGCAGGAGACGTGGGTTGAGGGTTTAAGTTTAGGGTTTAGGGTTTAGGGTTTAGGGTTTAGGGTTTAGGGTTTAGGGTTTAGGGTTTAGGGTTTAGGGTTTAGGGTTTAGGGTTGAGGGTTGAGGGTTGAGGGTTGAGGGTTGAGGGTTGAGGGTTGAGGGTTGAGGGTTGAGGGTTTAGGGTTTAGGGTTTAGGGAACTGAGAAGGGTCCCCCCTGAGCTTCCCACCCCAAAGGACTTGGGTGCCAAAGGCTTTGAGGCTGTTGCTGGGATGGATGCTCGGCAACATCGGATGTCAATCTGTCACTTCCACCATGCATCGATGACAGGGCAGCCGCCTGACCGCGATGCGAAAGAATCCTCTCCCGGGCCCCAGATCCCAGCTCCCAGCTATCGTAAGCAAGACCCTGCACCCTGAACCAAGAAACCAAACCCAACTCGGCCCCTAAACTCTAAACCCAAACCCGAAACCCTAAACGCTAAATTCTAAACCCTAAGCCCCAAACCCTTAACCCCGACCCTAAATCTGCCGTCCTGTGCCCAGGTGTAATCCGCGCGGCTGATCATCCAGGCACCACGTCTGTCAATGGCCTCGAAGATCGTCACCAGCGACTGGAAGACTTTGGGTGTGTACCTGGGCGTCTATGGTTTGCTTAGAAGTTCACGAGTACCTATAAACGCGAACACTCAATGACTACGCCTGAGCATCTAGCACGCTATGCCGAGAGACAGTCTACCAATGGCTTATCTTGTGGAGGCTTCCCACTTGAGCCTACCCTGCGCCCACCCTGCAGGTTGTCCAAGCGGCTGGTGTGGCTCAGTGATGTCTCCAGGCCGTTCTTAGTGCCGGCCGAGCATGCAAGACACAGGAACAAACAAATGCAAGCTCATCCTGCGTGATTTCGGGTGTAGCATGGATTTAACTGTGGCCTCAAACCCTTCACTGCCATAGCACGCAAACCGACTAGACAACGAGCCTGGGAAGCATCGAGGAAGAAGCGGAGTTCTGAAGCCCTAACAACCTAAAAAGCCCTAAGGCACTAAAGCCCGATGACTTGATAGCCCAGTAACCATTTTGGAGTTTGGAGTTACCCTAAACCCTCAACCCTCCACCCTCAACCCTAACCTTTTTGGGGTTTAGGGCCAGTAACCATATTACACTACGGGCACCTTCTTTGGGTCGGGCGCACTTTTATCAGGGAACCTTGGACCACAAAAAGGGGAAAAAAAGGGTACCACTAATCTACCAAGGTGAAGCCGAGGCTCGGCCCGAGATGGTGAGGTCCAGCGTCTTTTCAGGTAGGGGCTGGATGCCTGTGAGGGGCTTAGGGTTTAGGGTTGAGGGTTTAGGGTTTAGGAGTTGTAGAGGGTCTATAGGGTGTATGTTAGGGTGTACAGAGTGTGGGGATTTGGGCTTTGGGGCTTGAGAGGTTTAAGGGCCCTAAACCCTAAACATACCCTAAACCTTGCAAACCCTCAGACTGTTAAACCCAAACTTGATATCACCATAACCAATGCAGTCCACTCGTCCCTTTCAGGGCACATGCGTTCAGAGTCCTGTCTGGGTTACAGAAGGCCGAAGCCGAGACTGCGGATACGAGGGAGCATGGTTTGGTGAACTCGCCTGCACCACTTGCTGCCGATCCTAAACAGAGCGACAAACTACCCCAAGCCCTAAAACTGCTAAACCCAAAACCCCAAATCCTAAACCCTAAACCCTAAACCCTAAACCCTAAACCCTAAACCCTAACCCAAACACAGGCAGACCTTGAAGAAGCTCGTAGGAGGCCATGGCCAGGTCAGAGAGGCATGCAGCGCGCAGGCGGCTGCTCATCATAGACCCTGTAGGGTTTAGGGTTTAGGGTTTAGGGTTTGGGGTTTAGGGTTTAGGGTTTAGGGTTTAGGGGTTAGGGTTTAGGGTTTAGGGTTTAGGGTTTAGGGTTTAGGGATTCAAGGGCGGCTGTCCTCTTTTCAGGGTTTTTGGTCTTTGTCATGCAGGGCGTCTGTCTGCGAACTGTCTGGGCTTCTTGGGGAGAAGCTGAACACCCTTCAAGCTCCACTACTCCTTTGGGTTTAGGGTTTAGGGTTTAGGGTTTAGGGTTTAGGGTTTAGGGTTTAGGGTTTAGGGTTTAGGGTTTAGGGTTTAGGGTTTAGGGTTTAGGGTTTAGGGTTTAGGGTTTAGGGTTTAGGGTATCCTCAAGTCTTACTCTGAACAATCGGGAGTTGATCTAAATACTGGACCCTTTTGGTACCCTACTCGCGTAAGCTTAACGAGCATACACCAGGATGGCCCTTAAAACCCTCTGAACAAGTATTCCTTACATATGACCCTCTTAAACCCAAGGGAAAATATCAAAATGTTGCAAGGCCCTACCGAGCACAAGATCCGAAAGACCCAGACTGCAGATCAACTAAGAACCCCAGCCATCGGCCCACCCCGGTTACCCTACATAAGCCCCCAACCCCAAACCCTCCCAAAGCCCAAAGCCCAAAGCCCAAAGCCCAAAGCCCAAAGCCCAAAGCCCAAAGCCCAAAGCCCAAAGCCCAAAGCCCTAGACCCTAGACCCTAGACCCTAAGCCCTAAACCCTAAACCCTAAACCCAAACCACTCCCCCCCCCACAATGGCGCTCCTTGGAACTGGCAGGAGATGCGAAGCGCTTGACCAGGGACTGCCAACACCTGGCACTCGGAGGTTCAGGGTTTAGGGTCTAGGGTCTAGGGTCTAGGGTTTAGGGTCTAGGGTTTTGTTTAGGGCTACAACCCTACTTAGGGGACATAGGGGGCTTGGAAGTACCGTTGTATTTGGGGTTCTAAGTACCCATGAACCTCCAAGCAGGCTGACGAGGCGCTCCTAAGGTTGCATGGCTTAAGGGCTTTAGGGGTGTAGGGTTTGGATGATTAGGGTTTAGGGGCAGGGTTTGGGGTTTAGGGTTTAGGGTTTAGGGTTTAGGGTTTAGGGTGTAGGGTGTAGGGTTTGGATGATTAGGGTTTAGGGGCAGGGCTTCAGGGTTTTTAGGTGGTAGGGTTTTAGGGCCTTAGGGCTTTAGGGCTTTAGGTTTTTAGGGATTTTTAGGGTTTGGGAGGAACCATTCTACCCGCACCCTCCCAAATTCGGGTGCCTGTTTTGGGGGCTGGGTGCAGACTGATTTTTAAGGATTGTAGTACCTATGACTAACCTCCTTCGGGCCCCAATGAACACTACCCATAACCCTAAACCCTACACCCTAAACCCTTAACCCTAAACCCTAAACCCTAAACCCTAAACCCTAAACCCTAAACCCTAAACCCTAAACCCTCTCTGCGTTCCCCTTCTGAGCTTTCCCTTCTCGGGCCTCCTCGACCCGCAGCACTGACAGAAGTGGGAGCACCACCTCCTGCAAGTTTTGGCCGCATGGGTATGGGGTTTAGGGTTTAGGGTTAGGGGTTAGGGTCGTTTAGGGTTTGGGTTGTTTAGGGTTTAGGGTTTAGGGTTTAGGGTTTAGGGTTTAGGGTTTAGGGTTTAGGGTTTAGGGTTTAGGGTTTAGGGTTTAGGGATCAGTCCTTATCTCTGCTGCCCAAATGCCTCGGCAAAAGTCCCTAGGGGCCCTAGTCTCTGAGGCCTCAACTCCCTGAGCCGTGCTGCTGATGACAACCCTGAAGCCCTAACACCCTACAATCTAGGGGTGGTACCTTGCACCCCTGGGGCTGAGGGTCAGAATATGAGTAGATTCAGGGCCACCTTTAGGGGTACAACCTTAGGCAGTAGGGGTACGAGTCTTAATCCCTCGATACAACCCCCCAAACCCTACGACCCTAAGACCCCTAAAGCCCAAAGACGCAAAAACCCCACTCCCTCAACCTTAAGCCCTTCACCCCAAGACCCGAAAGCCCTGAAACCCCCAGACCCTACAGCCCTAAACCCTGAAAACCCTGAACGGGATTTGGGGTGGCCTGCTCGTCGGGGTACTGGCTGAGGCAGGCCAGATCCAAGCACTCCGTGACATTTCCTGGCGAGCAAGCAGCTCGGGCCAAGTACTGAGGCAGAGTATGGATGCTACGACGTACTTGGCACGTATACCCCTTAGTTATGGTGGGTTTAAGTTACCACAAAAAATGACAAAAGCATTTCAAATACATCAAAAAATGAGAGGCCTCTTCGACGAAGACCCCGAGAACACCCGGCAAGCCTCATCTCCCAAAATGCAGCTGTTCAAGGCCGGGGCGCGAATCGTCAGGATCACATGCTGCTCCAGATTGGCGGCCCCCAGAAAAAGGTACTTGTCGACGTAGCCCGGATTCGCAGATGTGCTCAGAAGCTGCGGACAAACGATGACGTCGTCCTGCGGCCCGGGTTCAACGACTTAGAGGTTTAGGGGGATCCCCTAAGCCACTAAACCCTTCACTCCACTAAACCCTAAACCCTAAACCCTAAACCCTAAACCCTAAACCCTAAACCCTAAACCCTAAACCCTAAACCCTAAACCCTAAACCCTAAACCCTAAACCCTAAACCCTAAACCCTAAACCCTAAACCCTAAACCCTAAACGTCTGATGCTCCTTCTGCTTCTTGCGGAGCTCATGGAGCCCACGGTCGGAGAGATTCCTGGCACAGGAGGCTCTCTCTTGGGACCCCAGGGTTTAGGTTGGGATGTTCCCCCTTTAGGGTTGAGGGTTTAGGGTTTAGGGTTTAGGGTTGTTCCCTCTTATACTAACAGTTCTTAACAGGGATTGCAATAGGGGGCACTATGGTCCCTATTAAGGGCTGTTAGTGTAAGGGGGAACATCCCAAAAAGGGTTTGTCAGGGTTTTTGGAAATTGGTCTTAGAGCTTAGGGGTCTTGGTTCTAGACTTCAGATTGAAGTTTAAAACCATCTGGCAGACGGGGCCAGCAAACATTGCACGACTCGGAAACCCCGTACCAAACCCCTGAACCCCTGAACCCTTCACCCCACGTTCGGGGTTTAGGGCTTAGGGCTTAAGGCTTAGGGTTTAGGGTTTAGGGTTTAACGCCTAACCGCCAGAACCCCACCCTCTTCTGAGTTTGGCTTTCTTGTGCAACTGGGTTTAGGGTTTAAGGTCGAAGGTGGAACCCTTCGAGGGGGGGGACGACCTATACCACTGAGGGTCGCAGCGTTTAGGGTTTAGGGTTTAGGGTTTAGGGTTTAGGGTTTAGGGTTTAGGGTTTAGGGTTTAGGGTTTAGGGTTTAGGGTTTAGGGTTTAGGGCAGGCACGGCCAGCCAAGCGTCATGAGCATCCGCGTCAGAACCCGAGGCTCCTCGAAACTCTGTCGGCACACGCCTGGGAAGGCAGGGAAGATGCAGCTCCCGGGGTTTAGGGTTTAGGGTTAAAGGGTTATAGGGTTATAGGGTTATAGGGTTATAGGGTTTAGGGTTTAGGGTTTAGGGTTTTGGGCTTAGGCCTCGAAGCTCCCTATACCCTGCACCCTAATTCCGATAAGCCCTTTTCAACCGAGACTAGAAGACACGAGCTGGATGCTTCACCTAGACCCAGGAGTCACCTGGGAATAAAAATGGTACCCTTTTTGGTTTCAAGGGGCTTAATTATAAGGGAACCCTAATCCTAAAAAAAGGTAAAAAGGGCCTACTCCGGGTCCTAGTCACCATGAAAAACCTTAACAAGATGCCATCAGGACGTAAGCAGTGAGCCCCCTGAAGCCTATACCCCCTCCAAACTTCAAACACGCCCCCCACAAGCCTTGAACCATACAGTAAGCCCTATCCCTAAACCCTAAACCCTAAATCCTAGACCCTAAACGCTAAACGCTAAACGCTAAACGCTAAACGCTAAACCCTAAACCCTAAACCCTAAACCCTAAACCCAGGCAGGGCTCTGAGCAGGCAGGCGCTCTTGACCCACTGTCTCAGGGGCTGCGCAGCCACGGGGTCGACCCCCTGGCGGTTTAGGGTTTAGGGTTCAGGGTTTAGGGCTAGGGTTTAGGGTTTGGGGTTTAGGGTTTAGGGTTTAGAGCTCCTTAAACCCAATAGGGGGGGCAATATGTACGATTCCTACACGAGCTTCAAAACCCACTAAAGGACAACATAACATATCCCAAGAGCCTAACATCCGAAACCCATTTAGGGCGAACCATCCAGGCCGGAGAGAAGTTGAGCCAAACCCCAAACCCTGAACCCCAAACCCTAAACCCTAAACCGCAAACCCTAAACGCTAACTCCCAAACCCTAAACCCTAAACCCTAAACCCCAAACCCTAAACCCTAAACCCCAAACCATGTACCCCAAACTCTCCCAGAAGGTGCTAAAACTCCTTACGTGCGCGTCTCGAGCTCTCAGGCCTCGATCGGAGTTAAATTTGCGTACGCAAACTGTGAAAGTTCAAAGGGTGCAGGGTTTAGGGTTTAGGGTTTAGGGTTTAGGGTTTAGGGGCCATTTTGGCACAGGGACCACAAACAAGACCACACACCACATGCGGTAGTCCCCCCGAGTCACCCCTCCTCCTAGTAGAAAAATCCTCCGCCCCCCCCCCGCCCCCCCCCCGCCCCAACAAAAAAAGAAGTATTCATCGTATACTATCAAATAGTTGTTTTCCTAACGGGTATTTGCATACTGAACATATTTCGGGGGAAGGGGGGAGGGGGCGGTTCTTAATTATTAACAGGCATGAGGGAAGTAGGTACCCTAAATCATCCCTTACAGGGTACATCTAGGGTGACATCCGGTATTTCATTTCTTCACTCTCCTACTAAGAACCAGTGACCCCAAACCCTAAACCCTAAACCCTAAACCCTAAACCCTAAACCCTAAACCCTAAACCCTAAACCCTAAACCCTAAGCTTCCAGCGTCCCTTGCCTGCCGCATCCCTGCGCTGAGCGCTGAGTGGAGCACCGCCGTAGCCACGCGACCTACCTCAAGGGATTTCTGGAAGCGTATGGGGGCTGGTTTAGGGTTTAGGGTTTAGGGTTCAGGGCTCATGCGGACTTTTGGGGACTTGCGGGGGACTTTTTGGGACTTATGGGGACTTATGGGAGCTTTTCGGTGTTGGTTTGAAGTTTATGGGGTTTGGGGTTCAGGGAGGACCTTAAAATCCTAAATCCCATATCCCCCTAAATCCTAAACCCTAAACTCTAAACCTTAAACCCTAAACCCTATACCCTAACCCCAAACCCTAAACTCCAAACCCTAAACCCCCTAGACTTGTCAGCCGCGGCCTCGCCGGAGAGCATCGGGTTCCGGCGCGCCGCGCCCTTCGTCATCCGCCCCCGGTACGCGTCATAAGCCTCCACGAGTTTAGGGTTTAGGGTTTAGGGATATAGGGATTTAGGGTTTAGGGTTTAGTGTTTAGGGCTAAGTGTTTAGGGCTGCGGTGTACCGACCCTATAAGACAACTAAACCCTATCAAGACTCTAAACAAGTTAACAGGCTGGGTGTAACGAGTAGTAACGACGCTATAAGAGATATGCACCGCGTCAACACCACGAGCCCTAGCTTCACAATACCTAGCCCTGGAAATTGATAAGGCTACAAGGCCTGTTACTACAAACCACACGAACCCTGTAAACCCCCCTAAACCCTAAACCCTAAACCCTAAACCCTAAACCCTAAACCCCCCCCCCCCCTCAAGTCTCAGCTGGCCTCCTTCCTCTCAGCAAAGAGCTGCGGCCCCACGGCAGCGGAGGGGCAGTCGAGGAAAAGCAGCGTGCGGTCGGTGTCCACATCCTGCCTGCAAGGGTGTTCTAGGTTTAGGGTTTAGGGTTTAGGGTTTAGGGTTTAGGGTTTAGGGTTTAGGAAGGGCGCTTTGGCGGGTGTTCTGGGTGGGTTTGGGAGATCTTGGCGGGTGTTTAGCGTGGTGTTTTGGGGAGAGGTTGTGGAGGCTTAGGCCATCGGAGGCCCAGCAGGAAAGGATTTTTCTAAGCATCTAATATAGGGCCTGAATAATTGGAATGGGGCTTTGGGGGTTTTATAGTATCATAATATAGGGGCCCTAAGGGAATACTATTAGTCATTATTCCGACCCCTAAATTATTAGAACCGGAGGCTCTGGTCTTCAAGCCTCCCGTGAGGCTGTGCCATGGATGTACTTCGTGGGGAAGACAAGGTCTCTAAGACCTACATGGCATCCTCTGCGTTTTTCGGGTGGGAGTGTTGGACCCCAGCTAAGAACGCAAGCAAGCATCTTGCAAGTTGGGTGGCTACGTCTACACATGCCACTAATACTACTGTAACAGCTTCAGAACCCCGAAAAAAGTCTTCCTTACTAAGGGTAACATAGGGATTAATATTTTTCTTTTGGGGTAGACTACCTGCTTTTCATCGGCCGGGCGGCTGCGTGTAGAGTAACATGGCCGCCAGCGCGATCGGAAAGTTCGTCCACGTGGCTTCGGTCTGCTGGCTGATCCGGGACTTGATGTCATGACCTGGGGTCGGCCATGTGGTTGGCCGCAGGTTTACACTCGACAGCTCTCAAAGTCACTGACTCAATGTCAAAATAATTCAGTGAAGATGGGCATCCCGAAAAGCAACTTCCACCCAAGACTAGGTTTGCGAGAAGATATGTCGACATAGGGTGATGACATTCAGAGTATATTACCTCTTCACGACGCCTCGGCACTGAGTTAACAAGTTGTCATTTGCCGAGATCACTTTCCGTCGCAACTATCGCCGGCACGGGCGAATCCTAAAAAAAGAAGCAAGCAATTGGCTGTTTGCTGTCGCAGTACAAAACAATATAGCACGAGGACAAGTAGCACCGCATACTTTTTGTGGAGGCTCATGAGTGGTTGTTTTATAATGGGGCCAGAATGCCTCATGGTTACCTTACCGGTAGACCCCCTCAATACTTAATTGTGAGCCAAGTTTCTTATCCCTGGACCCTAAACCATAAACCCTAAATCCTAAACCTGCAATGTACAAAACTGATTCTTGGGCCCTGCACCCAGCTTCAGTAGGATGGTCTTGTCCAGGGCCTTGGTTGCTGGCATCGGGGGTTAGGGTTTAGGGTTTAGGGTTTGGAGTTTAGGGTTTAGGGTTTAGGACTTAGGGTTTAGAGTTTAGGGTTTACGCTTTAGGTTTTAGGGCTGTTTCTTCTGTTCTTGTTCTCCTGCCGAGCAGCTTGAGGTTTGCAGATTTTCCCGTTGCTCGAAATGTGGCAGCTTTGGAG